ATCTGGAAAGCCCTTTGCACACACTCCCGCCCCTTCACAGGCCCTTCCCAGATCGCCCCAGCCTGAAAGGAGCCCATGCTTTCTACGGGAGCTTCTGCTGTTACCACCCTTCCTGGTTTTCCTTGCGTTAGACTTTCAACTTGGCTTGCTCTTGATTGGCCTGTCAGCCCTGAAGTGTGCGATCCCCATCTTTTAAAACCTACTTGAAGGAGGTGTGATTGACATATAAAAAGCTGTACATATTTAATGTATATAAATTGATGAGTTTGGGGATAAGTGTACACCTGTGAAACCATCACCTTCAGGACCATAAACATATCCATCACCTCCCAAAGTTTCCTCCCACCCCCCCTTACTATTGCTATTCTATTATTATATATTTTTTGCATTCTTTTTTATTGAAGTATAGTCAGTTTACAATGTGTCAACTTCTGGTGCACAGCATAATGTTTCAGTCATATATATATACATACATATATTTGTTTTCATATTCTTTTTCATTATAAGTTACTACAAGATATTGAATATAGTTCCCTGTGCTATACTGTTATTTTTTAAAAAATTTCTTGGGGGTAATTCAGTTTTTAAATATTTATTTATTTGTTTTTTGTTTATTTATTTATTTATTTATTATTTATTTATTTAATGGAGGTTCAGAGGATTGAACCCAGGATCACGTGCATGCTAAGCACGCTCTACCACTGAGCTATGCCCTCCCCCCTAATTATTATTGTAATTAATTTGTATTCTCATTTAATTCATCTTGGTGCTGGCCACAGAGCTCATCCTGTGCATAGGTCCTGTGTGTTGAACTGAAGGTGTTGGCTTTTCAGAGCGGAATGTGAATGTCTTCCTTTTTGAAGCAGGACCCTCTCTGCATCCTTCTCTGAAAGGAAGGTGACTCACAGCCCTTTGGAGAAGCACTTGTTGATACAAGCCTCCCTCCCTGACATTCCAGCGGAAAATCAACCCTTTGCTGGCCTGACTAAATTTATAATGGGTTGGCCCAAGCAGCTGGTGGCAGCAGCTGGTAGTTAAAAATCTCTGAGAGAGTTTTTTTTTCCCCTCTGAAAAATATTTCAGTCACTCTGGTCCCAGCACCACCACTGGTAGAATCTGGAAGCCATTTATAGCCTCTTACAGTTGGTCTGAGAAGAATTCCCCCACGTACCCAAAAGTCAGCTCCCCCCCACCCGCCCCAACCTCATCCATCTGGAGTGTGACCGGATGACTGCGAAGTGAGATAGAAAGTCCCAGGGCCAATGGCACAATGTGAATTTGACAGTTTTATTTTCGTGTAGCAATTTTATATGGTTCAATTTAATATATATGTGTATACACACATATGTGTATATTTTTAGATTATTAAAATTATGTTGAATGAGAGCTTCATAAACCTTTATCCAAGCTTGTTAACTCTTGATTTACACACTATTCTAACACCCTGGGCCTTGTTTTTTAGTCTGTAGTAAATTAGAAGCAGAGAACTGGAAGACAGAAAGGAAAAAAAGAGTCAGGTGAGTTGTAAGGCACAATGCAGGCTGACAGCCTGTGAGTGAGGGACCAGACTGAGTGTGCAGAGTCCTCGGCGATGGCGCCGTCCAGTGCCTTCCCTTTTACAGAAGCAAGAGTTAAGCTCAGAGGAGTCGCCTGGCTGAGATACCAAGGTGGGGCTGGTCAAGAATCCAACCCTCTTGACTTCATATGCAATTGTTTTTTAGTGCCATAGCATACCTCCCCGCTTAAATCATAGTCGCTGAAGATGCTGATCATGTGTCATTGACAAAGTGTTTAATTATGTTCAGGATTCTCTGTTCAAAAAGTTAAAACAAAATCAGGGAAGTGTCCAAAATGCCTTGAAAAATAATTCCATCCCAAAGAATTAATATAAAAATGCTGTTCCATAGGCTATGCGGGCAGATATCTGTTATCCGAAAAATTCTCCAATGGGACTTTCATTTTCCCCTTTGGTGCCTGTTGAGTGAGGCGTGGCTGAGGATCTGTCATGGGAGGAGGCTGACAAGCCTGTATCCTCACGGTGGAATGTGGGAATGTAGATGTGGGGGAAAGACAGCATTGCTCTGCTTGTCCCGTCTCTTAAAACTTTCACTGAGTTATGAATTGAAGTTGTTCCCAGGCACTTAAAATATTCCTTAAATACGCTTCCTTATTTATTTTGCTTGTAAAAGCAGTATGTGTTCAGCATAGAACTAGAAAACAGAGGTAAGGGGAGCGGGTATAGCTCAGTGGTAGAGTGCATGCTTAGCATGCAAGAGGTCATGGGTTCAACCCCCAGTACCTCCATTAAATTAAAAAATACTAACAATAAATAATAATAATTAATAATAAACGTGATTACCTCCCCATAAAAAGCAAAATTAAAAAAAAGAAAATAGAGGTAAATTCAATGAAGAGATGAAACACTCGTGACTTCATTGCTGAAAGAGAATGACCGCTAACACCTTAGGGTACACCCTCCCACATTGCTTGGTGTTCATTCACTCTGCTGCTCGCTCTGTGTGTGTGTTTATATATGTATGTACAGAGACACATATACACACATGCACATAAAATCTGGATCATGCTGTCAATTTTTTTTAACCTATTTCCAGTTAATAACGGACATATTTACCTCTGGATGCGTGGAGATCTATCTACCTTATTTTTTTAAGTGTCTGCAATTGAGTGCATTCTGTGGGTGCTTTCACTTGATTGATTGTCCCCTACTGTTGGACGTTTTGGTTGTTTCCTTTTTGCCTTTTTTTATGTGTGTGTGTGCTGTTGTGGCCACAGCTGTGTTCAGCATCTTTGCTCACACCCTTAATCGTCTCCTCAGGATAAATTCTTGGAAGTAGAATGGCTGTGTCAAAGGGAACAAAGTCTTTTACGGTTTTCGATGTGTGTTGCCAAAACTCTGGGGCCATGTTTTTCCGCTCAGGTTTTATGACTTTGGAAAGTCGGTATTGCCCGTCGTTTTAGGATGAATCGAGATCCAACAAAGACTTCCAGAGTCCCTGCTGGCCTCCCTCCCCCAGGCTCCCTCCTCCCTTCACTTCACCCTGGGCCCATTCGGCTCTCACTCCTTGGTTGTGGTCACGTTCTGCGGGACTTGGGAACCGTGGAGGAAGAAGAGCATCCCAAGATCCATGGGAATAAGTAGAAAGGTGTGGGCACAAGCGTGTGCTAGTCCAATCATATTTAGAATGTAGTTTTGGGAAATTCACCCTGGGCCACCCTGCCTCTCATTCAGTGCCAAGGGCCGCATTTGGTGGCTGAGCATATGATAGAAGCGTTGGGTTGAGTCTTCAGCTTAGGATCAAGTCCCAGTCCCTCATCCTGGCCTTGTGACCTGACTCCTGCTCACCTCTCCCCTTCCTGGCTGTCCTTATCTACGCTCTAGCTGCATGACCTTTCTGCACTCCTCCTGAATGCCGGCTCCTTCCTGATCTGGGTTGTTCAGATATGTGGCTCCCTGTGCTGAGGGCAGTCTTCTTTCCCTTACTCTTCAGCCTTTGGGACATAGCCCAGGAGGGTGCTTAAGGACATAACTCCTGGGGTCTGGCTTAGGTCTGTATCCTGTTTCTGCCACTTTACTGGCTGTGCAACATTGGCTGAGTTGCTCAGCCTCTCTGTGCCTTAGTTTCCTCCTTTGGAAAATGGGCATAATGATAGTACCCACTTCACAGAATTATTGTGAAGATCAAACATGATGATATGGGTGAGCACTTAATAACAGTTCCTGGCACACAGCAAGTGTCAGTAAACATTCACTATCACTGCGCTGGCCGGCTGGCCTCCGCTCACCGCTTTACAAAGAAATTTCCCCCCTCCCCGACTCCAGGCTGGGACCTCCTAGTTTATGCTGTCATAGCCATTTGTACCTTTCCTTCTCAGTGGTTATAACAGTTGTTCCTAGATAAATAAGCATTTTTCTAAGTGTTTGACTGTTGCCTAAGACTAAGCTCCACGAGGGCTGGGACCACCTCTTTCTTGGTCACAACATAGGGCTGTTATTCAATCAGTATCTGCTCAAGGAATGAAGATAACTGTTCCGCTCCTTACTGCTACAGAGCCGAGTTCATCAGAAAGCCGAGTTCATCCCCAATAAAGTGATAAGACGTAACTGGCTATGAAAGCGGTCTCTCAGCAGAGTGAGCTGATGAAGTGTGACTGGTGACAGTGTCCAGTGATCTGTGTCCCTTCGAACTTTCAAAGCCAGTTTGCTCTTGGGGGTTGTCTCGTGCTGACCTCAGTGGATGAAGGACCGGTGTTGTTTTTAATTTCTAACTCACGGTAGATAAGAACTTTGGAAAATATAATTAAATGAATTACTGGGAAATGAAATTAAACTCAAGGCCGAGGTTTCTTGACCTTGGCACGACTGACATTTTGGGCCAGATAATTCTTTTCTGTGTGGCTGTCCCATGCACTGTGGGATGTTTAGTGCCATCACCGGATCCCAGCTGCACCTGCCCCCTCGGGTGGTGATGACCAGAAGTGTCTCCCGATGTTGCCAAATGTCTCCTGGGAGCAAAAATCACCCCTGGCTGAGAACCACTGATCAAGACCTCCAAAACACAAGCCCTGACAATTTATTATTAGATTCAAAATACGAAAGGACTCTGATCAGGTGGCTTACTGCAGGTTTCTTTGGGGCCTCATCAGGATGTGGTAACCAGCTGCCCTTGGACCAGCGCCATCTGTGGGCCACACTTGGAGCAGAGTCAGCCCTTCCTTTGCAGAAAGGGAAACTGAGGCCCTGCCCAGGGCCCAGACAAAAAATGTGCTGTTAAAACACATGTAAGACATTCTGGGCTCAGGGAGGGTATAGCTCAGTGGCAGAGTGGGTACTTCGCATGCGCAAGGTCCTGGGTTCAATTTCCAGTACCTCCATTAAAAATAATGATAATAATAAAAAAAATTAATGAACCTAACTGCCCCCTACCCAAAGACATTCAGGAACATTTCTGAGCCTTGGTTTTTTGCTCTCCTCTCCCCAGTTCACCTGAAGCCGATGACATCATCCAGCCAGCTGCCCTAGAAGGACTGGAAAACCCACTCTTAGCTGCCTCCTCCCAGCATGGTGATGTCAGTGGCCAGGTCTCCTGGAATCTGACTGCCCAGAGGTACGGTGGGCCTGGGCCTGGGCCTGCGGCTGATGGCGGGACCCCAGGGCCTTCTCCCTGAGGCTGCCTCTCTCTCCTCCCCTCTCTTCCTTCCCCTCCTCTCCCCACCCCTCCCCTCTTCTGTCCCACAGATGCACCCCCACACAGGTGTGCACGCACTCTGCACGGGGCTGGGGCCTCTTCTTAGGGCCTTAGGAATGACCTGAGGGGACACCAGAAAGACCCCTCCAACAAAGGCCATTTCAGAGGTTTGTTCCTTTGCGCTCTTATTTAAAATAGAAGTCCTCCAGGAGCCACATCGTGCTATTTATACTTTCCCAAGGAATGGCTTAGCTGCCTCTGGCCTCCCAGGACACCAGCTGGGTTAGCTGCTTGTTTTTGCTGTCTTTTGGGGGTGGGCAGAGAAGAGGGGGGCCAGTGGCACAGCGGGGAGAGGGACCAGACACTGCACTTTTGCCCAGCAGATGGGCAGACGGGCCTGGGGCGGGCTTGTCCTGCCTCGCCTTCTCTGCGTGCCCCGGCCCCCCAGCCCCCCACACCCATCACTGCCCTCCAGGTACACCGGCCCCGGACTCAGCCTTGACCTCGCCCTCTGCCCGCAGATTTGACACCTAGTCTGTTTAAACCAGGCTTGCTCACAGTCGGCCTCAGAGGCCTCTCTCTCTAAACACACACACACACACTCACAGTGCATCTCTCTCTCTCTCGACACACACGTTTATATGTCTCTCTCTATAGACATATATGACATATATCTATACAGACAAATTTTAATTATATTTGTATCGGTAAAACAGGTGCTTTGAGCCAGGTAGTACTCGGCACTGGAGAACCCTGGTGAGTAGGACCGACACAGGGTCCCTTCTCCCCAGGCTGAGACGGGGGCTTCCGTCTGCCCCTCCTGTGTCACTGCCCTTCATGAATACCTATACATAATCCGGCTCTAATGTCATCTCTTTGAGTGGAGAGTTGATCAGTTGCAACCTCTGGAACCACAGCACCCAGCCTGTCCCGCACTGGCCCTTGGTGGACTTGAACTGGGTTAGAGGGGAGACGTTGAGGGGCCTCCTTCTCAACCTGCCTGGGGGCCAGCGTGTGCTGACTACCCCCCGGCCGACTCTTGGGGGTGGGGGTGGGCGGCAGGTGGGCGCTTCCTGCCTGGTTCCTGCTGTCCTGCTGGGACAGCATCGAGGGGCCTCTTCATTAACTGGGAGGAGATTTGCCTGGTGGAGGAGAAATATGAGGGTCGGAATGAATGACACAGCACGAAGCTCCAGGCCAGACACAGATACTCTCTGGCGGCTGACCCGTGACAGAGAATTCGGAATGTTTCTGTTACTGGTGGGGGTCAACCATAGAGCCTAGTTATGTAGGCGTTTAACTTCTTAAAAGAGGAACCCTGGCTGGGGAACAAGGCCCTGAGCGCCCAAGGAGTGTGCAGGAGCTTCCTGGGTGATGTTGGCATTCCTCTCTGTCCTCATCCTTGGCCTCTCTGCCCCAACATTTTAGCAAGGCCGAGGGACCTCCAGTTGCAGCTGGTGGGGTGCAGCCTCCCTCCGTGAAGCCTGGAAAGGGGCTGAGACCATCCTCATCCGTGTTCAGGGGACACAGAGGGGCAGTGGGAGCAGAGGATACAGGAGGAATTGGCTGGGTGGCTCTCAGGAGAACTGAAGTCCACTTGGAGGTGTTATTGGTGCTTCTAAAGTCCCCTCCCAGGCCTGAGAGTGTATTTTAAATGACTTGTCCCAGCCCCACTGTAATGTCTGCTCTTTAAGCTCCCTTGAAGGCCCTGCCTCACTCCAGGCACTGTGTGGAGTATAGGACTGTAAATCCTCACCACTCCCCTAGGAGGTTGGGGCTAGGAGGGAGAGTCTTCTGCTATGACTCCTCTAGGCTCAGAGATGCTAACGGGTTCAAGGATGCAGAGATAGAAAGTGGCAGAGCCAGGGTTTGAAGCAGGTCCACCTTGGCTACCGAGCCTGGTTTTGAACCTCTCCACTGGCTGCTAGGAGCCCAGTTCCCTCCTTCCACCACGCCGCGGGGTCCTGCCTACATCACTGGCCTCTCTCAAGTCCAAGAAAGATATGAGTAAAGAGGTTGTGTCACCTCTGACCACGACCAACAGTGATCACAGGATGCAGGAAGGAGCTGGCGGCTCCGGACTGATTTTACCAGGGCTGAGAGTGTGACCAGCTCTCTGGCTTTATTTCTCAGTGGAGAGACTCGGATAGATCTCTGTGCTGACTTTGGTGCCTTGCCAGTGTGACTGAACATCTGTCCAGGGTTGTCTTGTCCTGTTTTTATTGGAAATTGGTGGAAAAGAGGTAGTTCTGATGGGAGCAGGGGTTGGTCTGGCTTTGTTCACCAACTGTCTCTACAGAATACAGTCCATCTGCGTTATTTGCAGATTCCGTGTTTGTGAATTTGCCTGCTCACTGAGATTTATTTGTAAGGTCAATAGTCATGGCTCCTTCATGGTCACTGGTGAACACGTGCAGAGAAGCAAAAGATTGGAGTCACCAGATGAGGGTGCTCCCAGCTGAGGGGGAGCAAGGTGACCCCCGGCTTCTCGATGAAGATCTTGTACGTATACCAGTGTCCTTTCACGATGTATTCAGTGCCATATTTTTTGTGATTTTTGTGCATTTTGTTGATGGTTTTGCTGTTTAAAATGGCCCCAAGCATAGTGCTGTCTAGTGTTTCAAAGTGCCTGAAGGCTATGAGCTGCCTGTTGTAGAAAATCCTTGTTAGACAAGCTTCTTTTGGTGTGAGCTGTAGTGGTGGTGGCTCTGAATTCAGTGTTAGGGAATCAAATGTATATTAAATAAGGTGTTTTTAACAGAAACACACATAAAACAAGGTTACATGTTTATCCGTTGACAAAAATATTGTGACCAGTAGCCCCTAGGAACCTAACCCTGTACTTCCCTTAGGAGCAGTGGTTCAGTGCTCGCTCATTCAGGGTCTGTGGTGACTTTATAGAGCGTTATTACTGCCAATAAGGAGAATCAATGGTACTTCACCTTGCTGCTCTGTGAGAGGAACTAAATAGGGTGTTCTGAGTGAGTAGTGGTGGCTTTTTAAACCTCAGGAATGGCCCTGCCTTCCCACCCCTGTGCTTAGTCTGTTCCTGCTGCTATAACAAAAACCACAGACCGAGCAGCGTATAAGCCGCAGAAATTATGCTCACAGCTCTGGAGGCTGGAAGTCCACAATCAGGGTGCCAGCGTGGTCGAGTGAGGGCCCTCTTCCTGGCTGTGGACTTCTCATTGTGCCTTCACGTGGTGGAGGGGCCTGGGGAGCTCTGCGGGGTCTTTTTTTTTATGAGGGCACTAATCCCATTCAGGAGGGCTCCACTCTCATGACCTAATCACCTGCCAAACACCCACGTCCTAATACCATCATTTGGGCATTGGGATTTCCACGTAGGAATTTGGGGGGTGGTCACAAACATAGTGTCCCAAGGGTCCCCCCTCCCCTTCCTATTCAGAACAGGGACAGGGGAGGCAGAGGGAGAGGTGAGGAGAGGTGCGGAGGGAAGAGAACTGGGCAGACGGGAGGCTGCAGCATCCTCCCTAGCGGTTTGCCTCCCCGCAGAAGCAGGCTTGGGACCTTAAATTTAAAAATCAGTTTAAATTAAAATAAACACATCCTGAAAATTATTAAAAAGAGAAAAGTGGGGCTGGAGCGTTTTCTGGAGAAAACAGAGCAGGACTCTCTCCCTCATTTCTGTCGCCACTAGTTCTTTGCAAGATCCTTTGCGCTAATCCTTCCCTTGCAAGAGCTCTTCTTTCTGAACAGGAACAAAGAGAGAAGGCACCCCCGTCCCTGCAGCAGTTCTCAAATAAAATGAAAGGGATTTCAGCACGCCCCTTCTCTCCAGTTAAAGCCACTGGAGGACATCAAACTTAGCCTCTCCTGGGAAGCTGCCCCAGAACCTGCTGTAAATATTGTTGAACTTCTCTTTGGTTTTCAGCATCCCTGGACGGCAGGGAACACTGAGCCCAGACCCTCTATAATGAGGCTAGATTGCCAATGGCCACCTGCACTTCTGTCTGTTCAATAGTTTTAGTTTTGTTTTTTTTTTAAAGTAAATCAGCAGAATTGTTTTTCAGTGGAAACCTAGCTATACAACCATTTGTTAACTGGAGTAAAACGGGGCACCCTGGTTACATCCTGTGGTCAGGAATCCAAGCAGACGGATCTCATTAGACACTGAGGACTCCTGTGGACACAGCTGGAAAACTTCTCACCCGACTCGTGTCCGTGGGGTCCCAACGTTAGCATGCCTCAGCATAACCCAGGCACCGCGCAGGCTGCTGCCCCGACCCCACCGCCCTGAGTGTGTGGTTCAGGGGTCCTGGGGAGCGGCCCAAGACTTTGCATTTTTAACAAGTTCCCAGGTGATGCTGCTACTGCTGGCCTGGGGTCCACGCTCGGAGAGCCACTGGGTAAGGCAGTCGTGTCCAGATGCTCTTCCCCTCACCTGTCTGGCTCTTAACAACTCCTTACGGTAGGAAACACCTGATCCAGCAGCTGGTGGCTGAAGTATCTAATCTCTGCCTTTGGACAAAAGAGCCAGGAGTAGGGAGAGCTCCTGCTAGGCAGGATTGCCTCACTAGAGAGTTTCTAAATTCAGAAACGGAGTTTCAGAATTTTCCGAAGTTGAAAGCACAGGGAATTCATACTGACTTATAGCTTCTGTTTTACCTCTTGCTCCAAATCATGCGGTTTATTTTGGTTTCATCTGTTTGCACAATAAGACTTCTTAATCTTTCAGTTACGGGTATGCAGGAGTGAGTTCCACTGCTCCACAAAGGTGAACTGAACCTTTATTGAAGCATGGACCTTGTTAAACACTGAATGATAAAGTGGAGGGGTTATTTTTTTAATTTAGAAAACAGATCACCCAAAAGTCTTCTCTGAATAACAGAACTCTTTTGTACCGTTGGAAAGGTGCATGTTAAAAGTGCATACTCGTGAAACAAAGTTATGTCACC